TTCTATTAAAAAAAAAAAAAAAGGAAGTTTCTAGCACTTATGGTTGCAGAGAAAAGCTTGAAAACAGGACCCAAATACACTCTAAAGGCCCAGATGTAAAGAGGTAAAGAAAAAGAACCCAACAGTTGCTGGGTTTTTTCCCTCCAAATCTCATGATTTGTAAACCAGTCCCATGATTTTTGGGACACAACTCATGATTTATAAAGGCTTGACATTACCGATACTGCCAGCATATATTTATTCTCCAGGATTATTAGTTCAGAACATTCCACTGGACCCTTCTGAAAAGAACAAAGAGGCAGGGGGCAAAAGACTGGAGACCCGATTCTCCATTGCCCCGTGCAGCCATATTTACGCCAGCACAACAGGGTGTCAAACGCTACCCTTTGGAACTGGCATCTTACAGCCAGTTGGCACTGGTGCAAATGACTGCACAAAGTGGACAATGCAGGATCAGGCCCCTGGACGTGCAGCTCAGAGGGTGCCTCATGGATACAGAGATTCCAGGGCCAGACGGGAACACTGTGATAAATCACAGGGCAGAGAATTCCACCCAGTAGCTCGGTGAGTTAGGAGCCCAGTGCACACGCTCTAGTCTGTTGGGTTCTCATTGCTGCCAGTAAACCGAGCTCAGATCAACCACATTTCCTTAGCCGCACACCAGCTGCAGACTGCCCTGCAGGTTTGGGTCGGGGCACATTTGCCAGCTCACGAGGGACACTGATAACCATTGTAAACGATGGGGGGGGGGCAGTATTTGGTGTCCCATGACCTGCCCATGGATTCTCTTGTGCACAGGTACCCAGCCCATGTCACAATCCCAGATAACCGACCTCAGAAAACACAGCACCGGGGCAAAGTGCAGCTCCAGTCCAGGGATAACTAAGCCAGATTCTCTCTCCGTTTCCCCTCCTGCCCAGCCTCTCCTGAGTCCCAGGACAGGAAAGGTGAGGAGTTAATCTTCACCTCAAATGCACCTCCGAAAGAATGCAGCAGGCTTTTCCTCTCCTCCCCCCCCTTTATAAAATGAAAACGCAGTGTGTGCAGGGAACGCAGCAACAAAGACGACTGATGGAGATGGAGCACCCACTGGTGCTCTGTGCCCCACCAATGTGTCCATTCACCAGCTCTGCTGGCAGCAGTGATGCTCAGACATCTGGTTTGGATACAACAGGCCTCGGGACTTTTTTATTAATTATTATTACACAAATTGTTTTAACCTGGAGCTTCTTTTGCAAGTTCCCTCTTTGCACCCTCCTTTTTCTTTGTGTCTCCACACACACGCCAGTCTACAGCCAAGGGATACTCAAATAACCTCGGCTTTCTCTGCCAAAGAGAATAGAAACCATATGGTAAAACAACTGAGAGATCACTGGTGCAAACACGGCCTCTGCCTCCCTCCTTCCCCACAGCGAGCCTGGATTCAGCTCCTTTGCACGATGGACACTGCAGACAGCAGCACCAGAGTCACAATGGAGGCCCTCAGAGGCGGGGGGAGGGGCCCTGTGCCTGATTCGCCAGCCTGGGGGGAGAGGCAGTGGGGCTCCAATATTCACAGGGTAGATGGGGCCCAAGCTGCAAAGTCTGGATTCAGATTTTAAACACATTTTCAGTTTGGATCTAAGTTTGGGGCTGTCCTGGTATAAAGATTAGTGGCCCAAGTGCATTGTTCAGATCTGGGAACTGATCCAGTGGTTTGGTTCGGGTCCATCAGGAGCTGCGAGCCAACCCCTGAGCTCACGGTGCAGCCCCCATTCAGGCAAATCTCACTACAACCACTGGGAGTCTCGCCTGGGTAAGGAAGACCCAGAAGATTTGTCCCCATGTGTAGAATGAAATTCACCCCTGAGCAGAGAACCCACAAGGCTAGGCACCACTTTAGTCCTACTTAAGCCCTCAAAATTGGGCCTTGCCTCGTACATAGGCCTAGTCCTGGCCCAGTGCACAGTGGGTGTGGGGAATTTGATCCCCAGAGAAGATGCAATATCCGGCCTCCTGACTACAAGGGCAATTTTACTGTAGCAAGCTCTCCAAGCATCGCAGTAGAGCTCTGGGTGGTTAAGAACCACAGTGCACCATGCAAGCAGACAATGCCAGTCAATCCTCTGTGTAGAACACACCTAGAATGGAAGCCACAGCTATGTGATGGAACGATCCCAATACGTGACAGCAGAGTTTGGGATGCACAGAATGGGGACACCTATTGCATGTGGTAGGAGAAAAGAGACGAGGGAATCCCAGTATCCAGCTTCTGAAATCCATTATTACTATTTATCATGTTTATTACAGTAGCATCTAGGGACCAACCAAGAATGGGGCCCCATTGTGCTGGGCACGGTCAAACACACAGTACCAGGAAGTCCTTTTCCCAGAGCAGCCTACAATTTAAATAGACCCAGAGCCAGTTCAGAATGATCCTTCTTGTGTTTAAAACCCTTGTTCCCGCTGTTATCACACACCTGGTCTCTCTCTCTGCTCCTCTCCCTCCCCTTGCCCAGCTCGTACCCTGGGCCTGCACTTCTGCACTAGTGAAGCTATCCCAGTGACTGGCTTCTAATAGCTGGAATTGCCAGGGTAAACAAAGCCTGCGCTGTATGCTGCATACAGGGGGACCCTGGGAGCAACCTAATCTTGAAAGGATATAACTTGCATTGCCACAGGGGGAAAAAAACAGTGCTAAAAGCAACAGGATGGTTTCTGGCCAAAGGAGGCTGAGAAAGAATCCCCCAGACTTAACAATTGGCTTGGCAGATGGCTTTTTCCTCCTCCCTCTGTTTCCTTCCCCTGGAAAAGCCATCTAGGCTCTCCTCTTTGCTGCATAGATGGAATCCACATACAAACCCTGGGGGGGGGGGGGGAGGCTGCATCTCAGAGAGACACCATCAACACTCAGCCAGCCAGCCCTGGGATGGTGATTCAGCTCAGTTATAGGAATTTGGCACAACCGTCTGCCTTGGGGGCCAGACTTTCACTGAAACACCCTGAGCAGGTCTGGGGTTTAGGTCATTTACCTTGTTCCTATAAGAGCCCAGTGTCGAAAGATGGATGTAGATTGCAAGCTCTTTGGGGCAGGGACCATCCATCTCCGTACTCTGTGTTTGCACAGTGCCTGGCACAATGGGGCTGGTCCATGAACAGGGAGCTGCAGACTGCATGAGGCAGTGTCTTGCCCTTCCCTCTACAATGCAATCAATGGGCAGCCACAGTCCATGTTAGAATCATTGAACGGGAAAGCAGCCAGCGCAGTGGAATGAGGAGGACAGAATCATAGGATTTAGGGAAATAAGCCACCTCCTCCTGCATTTCTAGCTTACCAAGATTTTCTGGCTCCAAGGAAAAGGTGGCGGAGAGAGTAATAAAAATGAAAAACAAGGTGACAGGATCAGTTAACGCGTAAGGAAAGGTGATGCCCAGTCCCTGCTTTGATGCAATTAACATCTTTAATTATGTCTTTAATTATGAAAATGAGGCCGGACAATTAGGGTAACTCAAGAAAACCAAAAAGCCTTCTGAATACTGGGCTAGAATCAGATTCCAACCCAGAGATGAACGTGGTGGTACCTGCCCACTTTTACGATGGCTGAACCAAACCCCCAGTTCTGAACAAAACTTGGAGACCTTTGGCTCTGGACTTCGTGGTTCAGGCCTGTCTCTAGTGATCACAGCTTTAATCAGGTTTCAGAACAATGATGTTCTACACTACCACGTCTCCACTACCACTTATGTCAGCAAAACTTATGCTGCTCAGGGGTGTGAAAAAACACACACACCCCCACCGAGTGACACACGTTTCGCTGGCATAAGTGGCAGTGTGGACAGCGTCATGTCGGAGAGAGAGCTTCTCCCACTGACGTAGCTACCGCTGCTCACTGGGGTGGTTTAATTATGTCAACAGGAGAGCTCTCTCCCATCGGCTTAGAGCGACTACACAAGAGATCTTACCGTGGTGCAGATGCTGTAAAGTCTCTAGTATCTCAACACACTTCCCCCAGAAGGGTAGTTTTCTCCCTATTTTACAGCAGAGCAGAACAAGACACACGAGGAGTGACTTGCCAGAGTCACAGAGCAGGCCTGGGGTGAAACTGGGTGAAGAACTCAGGTGTCTGAGTGCCCAGTCTGGCACTTGTCACACTGCCTCATGCAGCTAGAAAAAGGAACCCGGCTATGAATTGTGCAATATTTGGAAT